CCACATGCAACATATGCATCCATATACACAGAAGCCTTATATACGTACAACCTGTACAAGCATGATATGACATTTAAAATCAAATCAGAAAGCAAACAAACAACAAAGGGTTATAGTTATATTCAGGTACACGAAGCTTGCTTTCCTTTAAATGTTAATGGTACCGCAGTGCCCACCATTTTATTTCAGATCTGTTGAATGTTCAACTTCTCTCTGCTAGAAAGCTTTATCTTTTTAAAAAGCTTATCTTTTTAAACAAAATACAGATTATTCGTTGTGGATATCAGTAATTTTGCATCAGCCCTGAACTACTCTGTACAGCAGGATACGAAAGTTTCCTTTTAAAGAACACAAATTTACCAATAAGAACAAAAAATTATTTTGGAGATTTTATTCCTGGCAAGTAGAGTGACTGGCTTGTAACGTAGCCGATAAGACTACTGGCAATAAATCAAATCAGACAGTCTTTGATTTGGGGCAACAGATACCAAAGCAACACAGAGAGTAAAGTATGACAGTTTTAATAACACATTAGTCCACATCTTCACTTACGTGAGTAACTTTCGTTCTTCTTAGCAGGCAGCCCCTCTGCAGTTAACAGATTTGCTGCAGTAAGAGCTGGGGACATGAGCCACATTTTCTCCAAGTGACCCACCAGACCTGAGGCTCTTATGCTGCCACAGCAGTGTCAAGGGGCCACAGAGCTCATGAGCTACCGATTAAGCACAGCTTCAAAGGCAAGCTCCCAAAAAAGCAGATATGCACTGATCAATAACTAACATCTAGTGACAACATAGTATTTACTCATAACTGAAAGAGAATTAAGAAAAATAAGCTAAACTTTTCTTCTTAAACATCAGTTCTTAAACATCAAAATCAACCTATTTTATGGAAGTTTGTCCGTCAGATTTTTTCAGACAGACTGCACTTGTGGCATAGAGAGGCTTTATACTCCTTATTAAACATCTGCTGCTTCTTTTAAAATTTCACTAAAATATTTTAGTTTAATACGTAGTCTCATTTTTTCCATGCATATTAATCAATTATATTCCAGTGAGACTGTGTAATTAATCTGTGGCAAACATTTTTAAGTAACAAATTTTCTTACTTGTTCTGGAAAGATATTACAGATTTCTTGCAGGGATTTTTGAGATGATATAATATATAGCAGATTAATACCAGTTTAGAGAATTTTTACCCACTGAACACAGAGAACTGGTTAAACAGATACAGAGACATACAAATAAATTCCTTTTAAAGTTTTGGACCTACCCACATCTCCAGCCATAACAGGCTATGAAAAAATTAAACCATTAGACAGTTTCTCGTTGTTCATTGCATAGGAGAAAACATTTTTTACATGGTTTACAGATACATTTTTCAAGAAACATATAGTACAATGCAGTTTAAAATGAAACAATAAAAAACAGACTGCAACTTTAAAGAAATATAAAAGATTGTTTCTCACCCCTCAAAACAAAACTGGAACTTTGGTTTATAGGAACGGCTATGCCCATATACCCTCCTCATCATCCTGTGTGCCAGACATTAGGAGATGCACAGAGAAGATGTTAGCATTGGAATGAAAGAAGAAAAGGTTAGTTACTTTGATGCATGTTAAGATATACTTATCTTGGCTGTTAAAAATATGATTTTTTCAATACAAGCAAATGAAAACAATAGAACAAGTTTGTGTTGCATATACAAGAATCTGCATCTATAGCAACCAAAAAAACAGGAACAATGACACAAACATTTTCTCTCCCAGTTAAAACAGTGTGTAGGAAGTAGATTATAAGATTAAATATTAAAAGATTATCTATCTTTAATTGCACGCAATTCAAATCAACATTGATAGCAGAAATAGATTAAACCTTGTAAGCAAGCAAAGAAGTAATTACTATAATCAAATAGCTTTACATTCCGTAAGGTTAAAGGATATTAAAAAAAAAGCCACAGATTCCAAAAAAATCTGTCATTAGTGAAGTTCACTTTTCTAACATGCTATCAATCAAATCTATCATTTAAGCAATACTTAAATGCTGCATATTGTTGAATACTCCCAAAATTTCTTTTTTCATTTTAGCATTGTTAGGTTTATTCATTTATTGAGAGTTTTAACAACAGATAACATAATGGCAAACACAAAAAATTATAATAATTCCATGAATTTGTATTAACAAGGATTATCTTAGTGTAGATATGCTCCAAAAAGAAGAGTATTCTTTACATTTATTATAAACTTGAGGTTAAAAAACATAATAAAAAACACAAAATAAACCAGAGGAATTAAATGTTCTTCCCTGGATATGTCTACTGAAGATTATGTTTTTTATAATTCTTAATATGCGCACACATGGATGCACACATATATATCTGTACAGAAATCTCGTATGTCTCAAGTGTATTTGGTTAATGAATGGTTAGATACACATTAATATTCAGTGGAAGCTAAAATATAAACTTAATTGTTTATGTGCCAAATTCTGATGTGATGTTAAGCTTTCAGAATATAAAGGTGCACAACACAATATTTTTTCATTTACCTCAGCATTTGAAAATCAAATAAATCTTGTCATTTAAAATTCAGCCATTAACATTTTAGAAATATAAAAAAAAGACATTCTGTAGTTTCAAAACTTTGAGAGTTACCTGGTGTAACGTATTGCTAGCACTTAATTAAATCTAAAAACTAAATAAAATGAGTGGCAATTAATTATGATTGAAACAGACAGGAATTTTAACCTGAAAATATACACTGCTAGTATCACTACTGTTCCTAGTCCATTCTAGGAATAAAAAAGAGCTCCCAGATGTCAACTGTTATTAAAAACCAGATGTTAAGATAGATGTCTTGCCTGTTGCTGAATTAAATAAAGAAATCTGACAGTCCACTATAAACTTAGCTATCATTTAACACAGAAGAAATGTGGGTACATTTTTTTTACAGTTAACTTGGAACATGTCTTAGTTATAAGGTCTGCACAACTCCAACAGAAAGCAAAGAAACTGCAAGCCCTGAATATTCTTACTTCTTTTCGAAACAAAGGGCCAGATTCTTTAAAACTTCCAATGAGCTCGATTTGCCTCACGGAAAATATGAGTGTTTCCCACTGACTTCTACAGGAGTTACTTTTATTCAGGCCTACTAACTTTAATTGAATTGACTTTGAAGCTGACAAGAGTTTTGCCAGAGTAAAGGTTGAAGAAAGACTGAAGGATTTCATTTCCACTGAGTAGTTTGATCCTATTTCACTAACAGAACACATTAGGTTAATCTTTGGTGATATCTTTAAAAACAGCAGAAATCAACAAAGTGGGGAACTCTGTATGTTTCCAAATGATTCTTTCTAACGACATACAGCTGTTCTGCTGTTTAGTGTATTATAATTCTTTAAAAAGCCAGATACTCATTTTTACTTCATTTATTTGTGTGCTTTCTCTTTTTGGCAGAGTTCTAGAAGAAAATCAAATATTGTCAAATGTTTTTAAAAAGTATTACGGGAAATTACAGACTACATAGTTTGACACTGATCCTGCTATACAATAAGCAATAAATTAAAAGCTGGAGCCTAGTTCATGTCAATTAGCATAGCTTTATGGAGTATTGGTCCTGTCAAAATTACTTGCTATCTTTTTTATTAGATAGTCTTTTTGATAAGGTAAGTGCTTTGAAATAATATGCTGAGATTTCTGTAAGGCATTTGACTTGGTCCCACATGGCATGGGGTCAGCAAAATTAGCTCTATATAAAACAAACATTGCTTATATTCAATGGGTTAAAATAATTAACTCAGGTAATGCAAAAAATAATTATTGCTGGAGAAGGAAGGGGACCTGCAGAAATCTATTCTCATCCCAAACTTGTTCTATATTCCCGTGATCTAAAAGAAAATATGAAGTCTGATCCAGTCCTACCTGGAAAAGTGAACGTATTTGGGATCAATTGAACAACTGTTATCAGCTGCACACGCATATGACTAAAATCACCAGTACGGTGTCATCATCTGAAAGTCTATATGGCAAACTTGGAAGATGGGACTGTATCTGAAAACATGGATACTAAAAATAGCTTTACAGGTCATGATGGAAGTGAACATTCAGCTTGGTTTTGAATTTAAAAGGACAAATACAAGCAGAGAAATAATTATTAAAAAAGAATACTGTATCTCTAATGCAGCCATGAGACCATTATAAAATTACCCATCTAATGCTAGTGCCACAGTCTTAACGAAGGTTTGAAAAAACTGTAACTAGTTCAGGATAGAGCTACAGAAAATATTGAAAAATAAGTTTGCAGTGAAAAACAGAATTCAGTCTACTTGGTCTCTCAGGAAATAGTAAAAGATGACTTGATGACTATTAACTAACAGTCAGAAAAGCAGATAGCTCCTTTCTCTAGTAGAAAAAGCTACATAGAGATCTATAGGACATAGACTGGAAATACGGTGCATATATTTCAATAGCATATCTAAACTCAGTAATGCTTTAGCAAGGCACCATCAATTCTGGATGACTTGGAGCTTTTATATCAAGATTGAGTCACTTTCTAAAAGATATGTCTAACTGCTGTCAAAAAAATCACCGATTTAATGAAGAAATTATTGGGTGGTCAGGCCTAGATCATGATTATGGTCTGCTTCAGCTTTAACATCTACAAATATGACCGAAATCCTCTTTCACTTCTTTTCTCACATCTTTTTTAGTGAGAACGTCTGTGCCACGATCTTATTCTTTACATAACGATTTTAATTATTTTCCAATTTTAGTTAATAAATTCATAAAAATTAATTAAACACTGTGATCTATTATGATGGCCAACTGAATAGAAAAAAAAAAGCTTTCATTGGGTTTTAATTTTTTAATACTAAAAACAACCTCATAGTCAGTCCCAACATATTGTCTTATTTTAAAAATTTGTATCTCTGCAACTTGATTAACACCTACTCCAGAAAACTTGTTCATATCTGCATTTTCAACTCCACACCCTGATTCTTTATAGAAGATAAATAGCATTTTATTATTTACACTGACATAAGCAGAGCTCACCAACTCAGCACCCCTATCAAAAACACCCAGCCTTTTATAATTATGTGCTCTATTATGTATTATGTCAATGTTCGTAAGAGTTAATTATGGCACTTCTTAATGCTAGGTAATGTACTGACCTCATTTTCATTAAAGAAATCAGATGAAACCAGAGAACCATAGCTTCATTTTTAAAATCATTATAAATGCTGACACTTTTTAATTTAGCAGAAGCCAGAACGTACAGATGCAAGATCTTTAAGGAATATTAAAAGAACCCATGATTTTTTGCTATTCTCACTATGCATACAGATTGTTTTCAAGTTGGCACTACTTCCTCCAAGTGGATTCGACCAAAATTAGGAGATGAGACTCTCTACTATTTTAGTCATTCTGTAGTCTGTTACTATACTGAGAGGCAGCTATTTAATGGTGAACAGCATCAGTTAGTGTTGTAGATCGTACATATTTTCCTGTATGAACAACTACCCAAAAGCACCGGCTCTTAAAAATCAGGGCTGTAGTTTTCATTGTTTTAACTTAGAAACTCTTCAGTCAAGAAGCTAAGGTTTGGTACCTCAATGCAAGCAGATAATGTAGGACAGTAAAAAATTCTTCACTGATGTTCTGAGACGAATTATTTTCATTACCTATTCTTACATTCTTGACATGCTGTGAAGCAAAATAAAAGCTGCAGTTATGCCTTATCATTTATTAATATTGGATCAGAGGCTTCCAGCAGCATGCTTAGTCTTTCATATCAGTGTGTATCCTAGAGAATCATTAATCTATGGCTCTTTCAAACAATAAACCATAATCAAGCAATTTTTGATTAATGTTTGTGTACATTAACTGCTTTTTAAAATCTTTCATTGGTTTGTGGGGTCAAGAATAGCGTTTAAATGACAGAAACTACACAACAAAATCTGAATTACAGACATGAAAGAAAAAAATTCAAGAACTATCAGTGGAATTCGTAAATTAATATACAGGCTTAATTATCATAAAATTGCTACAAATTCAAAATAGTTAAGATATTGAATGGTAGGTATTTATGGATTGACTCCCAAGTCCTTAATTTGGCATGCCTATAGATACAGTATAGTGGTATTATCTCAAATGATATCAAAGCCTTTGTGCATGGGGTATTTATAAATTATTAATTCCTTGATTTTATCTCAGCTTTTTGCTAGTCCTATTTTCTCTCTAGGCTATTTCTCACCACATCTGCTAACAGTGCTCAATATCTTTAACAGAAATATTTGCTGTTGCTAAATACAGTTGACAGTTCTGATCCAAATGCCACTAAACCTAACGTCAAAAACTCAACTGGTTCCAAAGTAGCAAAATCAAGAACTTAAAAGATTAGTGCTTAGAAAACACTGTATAAAAATGTAGAAAGCTCTAACAAAGAAGTCTTATATATATTTTAATACTGAAGTATGTCTCAGTACCAGTTTTACAGCAATGTTTCACAGCCTTCAGTTCATCAGTTTCAGTAGTAAA